GCCAGGGTGGGAGTTCGCCTGCTACGACGAGGACATGTAGGAAAGTTAGCTTTTTACATGCAAGGTAAGACTAAGACACCGTTAGTTTTCCAACAGTGAAGAGATATTTGTGTTAAATGTAATCCCCTCAGGTGTTCTCAGTTGTTTGTTACCTCTGAAATGAGTGACAGTTAGCAGACAGATGTTTTGACGGCGTAAATTGATGTGTTGTCATCATGGTCACACAGCGCAAGGTGTTTTGCCGCCACTAATTAGAGTAACCCGGTGTGTATTAATGGACGTGCTCTACTGCTTCCTCCAGCTATCTAACTCCAGGAAAATAAACTCATGGTTACAGCGGGTAAAAATACTCCACAGCTCTTACATCAGTGCGGCTCCGTGATATTTTGGGACTTCTCCCATTCGCGTTGGAGTGGTTACTGGGTGTCTGTCTCTGTGCCAGCCCTGGACTGTCGCCTAAAACGACTCAGTGCAGGGGCGAGAGACGACACTGCGCGGCCTCAGATTTCGATATAAACATGTTAAAGAGAAGAAGAGGTGCAGCAGTGAGGAAGTAGGCCACTCGAGATAAAAGAGGACACCATGGGGACTCAGGCACAAGAATGACAGCAGCCGTGAGGACATGGAACGGACTAAAGCGTCCAGTCCCGCCGCCTGTGTGAGCACCGCTTCGGCTGCTGCGGGGCAGACGGGGGATATGGCCGGCTGTGGATAATTGTCTCTTTCAATTTGGACATGGCAAAGTGTGCTGTTGAACTATATCAAGAAACATTTCAACTTGTGCTTTACAAAGCAGAAATGAAGACTTTCAAAATAGCTTGGTGATTAGCATTCACCTTTTATCTCATTAAGTTAATGTTTTATTTTAATTCGCTGGAGGAATGTGGAGTGCGTTTATGAACGGCTCGGGGGTGCACGGTGGGGGCGGTGCAGGCGGGGGCTACGTCCCGTCTCAGGGATGGGAGTTTGTGCCGTGCTCCAGGATGGACAGGCCCGATAGAGGCAGGGGCAAAAATCGCAGCCCGTCGAGGAGGATCTCTTCTCCGCCCACCGTCTTCAGTCACATATACGACTCGCAGTTCTCTGCTACGGGAGAAGGTGGAGCAGGGACACAGCTTGAGTTCCTCAGGGGACAAATGTGGCCGGGTCCTGATGCCCAGCAGCAGCAGCAGCCGCAGCAAACACAACAAACGCGGCTTAAAAAGAAATTGGAGGATTTGAAAAAGCGACACATACAGGATAAGGAAGAATGGATGCGAGAGAAGGAGTCATTGTTGAGAGAAGTAGCTGACATACAAGTGATTAGAAATATTTACTACCCCTTTGAAGCTAAACATAGCTCTGTGTGTGCCTTTAGTGCTGTGTGGTACACATTCTTCTGTACGAGTAATGTATGGGGGGTTGTAGTTTTGTCAATGGTACTTTATTAGATGTGCTTGTATTTATTATCAAGTGTTGAATTATTTTTGATACTCTAATTGAACTGTGCAAAAGGCTAACTTTCCACTATGCAAGTACATCTGGCATATTTGGTTGACAAGAACGCTGCCAACTGTGTTTCCATGCAGGGAGGGGAGAATAGAAGGATATTGCTGGACCTGAAGACGGTTTTGGAGGACGTGCAGGCGGAGGTGAAGAGAGAGGAAGAGAAGAGGAGTGAGCTGCAGTTGCAGTACACCAGAGACGGATGTGCCTGGGATCTGGAGAAGGCCGAGCTCAAATGCAGGATTGCACAGGTGATGGTTATGATGGGGATGTGTGGGTAGAAAAACAAATAAGTCAGAGTCTGTGTGTGTGTATTTTAGAGAAATGTTTTCCATACTTTATATACAGTATAGCTGTGCATGTCTGGTTTGTGTGCAGGTGCATGCACTATTTCTGGACAAATACAAAGTAACACTAAACTTACTTAACAGCGATACCAAGTAGTGCACTTTAATATATATTGTATATATATATATATAAGTATTTTCTCATGTGTGTGCATGTCTAGCCAGTTTGGTGTAAATTGGGATGGCCTCCTGTGCCACCCACATGTCAGGGTGATAAGTCACGCTGGCATCCATCCAACTCAAGCCTGAGCTTAGACAAAAGATTTGCACATAGTCAAACCTATGTCCGCCCCTCAGCCAGACACAGACACCAAACTTTGCACTTAGCAGCCGACTCTCTGTATGAAACATTCACCCATTTTTCCCCCCCTGGGACGGCTACTGTTAGTGATTTTTTTTTTCCTCTTTTTAAATGGGAAGAAAAAACTTGGAGGTTAAGTTTGCATACCAGTGCCACGCTGTGTCAGGCATTGCACGGAACACTTGAAGAACCATGAATGGCTATTCTTCAAAGCACCGTGGCATGAATGGATTTGTTCTGGTTGCATCAGTAGATGGATTTATTTGGTTGCCTTTAGAAGTCTAAACCTGATTAGAAGAAAATAAAACTTTAAATTCTGCTCAACGTTTGTTCCCTTTACATGCTGGCATTCTTTGTGTGTCTCAGGACTCGCCATATCTCTAGTTTTTGTGATGACAGTGTTTCATTATCTGCCAGTCGAGCCCCATATGATTCCTATCACCGACTTCAAACTGATTGGTCACGCATTCACCCATCACACAGCTCTCCTCTTGTTCGGTCGACAAAGCGTTTTTTGATTCGAGTGATGAAGCTCAAAAATGTAATGCTAGAAATGAACAAGGTGGTGCAAGACCACTGCTGACACAATGTCACAGGAATGCAACACAAGCCCCTCTTCACACATGCACTGCATCCCTGAACTTATCTAGACACTACCCGGAGGAGGTGTGTAAGGACTCAAATGTCTGATTAAGTTCCACCAGGAAAAGAAACAGTCTTTACGTTGTCCTAGTCCATATTCAGTAGTAACATGGTTTCCCCTGATTGCAGATGGTTTAACTGCCATAATGCATTCTGCTCTGTGTGAGTAGATCCCTCAGTGTTGCTGTTGAGCTCCTCTCTTTGTCCTGCTGCCTCGGTGCTTTCTCACAGTGTGGCTGACAGAGAGCCTTATAAAAACAGAGAATTTTACAGTTCTGTTTTGTGTTTGCAAAGCCCATTGTGGCAGTGGGAGCTTAGCTTAGTGGGCTTAATCTACTGCATGAGTTTATACCACACTGATGTTTATACCAAGATGCTGATGTGCATTTAAGGCAATCTCTATTCGAATTGCCTGCCACTCTGGAGGATAATCAGGTTGTTTTGTTTGGGACAGCGGAGATTTCATGATGTTTTCTTTCTTTATACATTTGCAAAAAACACGCAGACCACAAAAGGGCCAAGGGAAATGTGACTTGGAGTTACGCCATCCTGGGCGGGGTAAGCTCCGTTGTAAAAGTTGTTTTGTCTTGATGCCACATCCTGCCACAGTTTATAGTTGTTGGTATGTGTTTACCAAGTGCTAATATATGGGTGCTTGTCAAATTGTCTTAAAAACATTCCCAGCTCAGTGATTAAAATAATAATTTACAGACTTCTGCACCTTTCTCCCTCATGAGGTACTTACATATTTGTAACAGGTCTAAAACCAAAGTCTACTGGTCTGCTTTTAGAATCAAGAAATGTAACATGGCAATGGATCATAAACAAAGATGTTAAAATCACATTTTCCCTATAATTAGGTAAAAGTAGTTTGTTTTAGCAAAGAGTAAACTGTATTACATTTTTGTAATGAACTGTCCTTAGTCTTTTCACATCTGATTGTCTAAACACATTCCCTGACTAGTTATGATGACGTTTCCTTTTCAGAAAACATCTTCTTATTGAGGTTCATATTGGACATTTCCTTAAAGGTCCCATGTCATGCTTTTCTGGTTATTACCCGTCCCCTTGTGTGCCATGTAGCATGTGTCTGCATGTAAACGGTCTGCAGAGTCACAAACCCTCAAAGTGCACCCTGTAGCAAGTAAAACTCTAACACAGAAAAGACCTGTCTATGCTGCCCCAGAACGCCTCGTTGGACGGATTTCTCTTTTCCATTTGTTTCTTCGGGGGAACCAAAATGGACCAATCCCGCGGAGCTCAACTCCACACCCAGGACCTTAGCGTAACATTTCTCAAACTAACAAGGGAGTCCCATTCGCACTTGGCAATGTAGCTCCTGGTTGGTAATAAGACGAGTTGTGGGATCGCCAGAAGAAAAATGCTCTCCGCAGACACCATTCCTCACAGCGTTTTATAAACCTTTTCTTACTCAATATCAACCGCACACTTTATTGTCTTTTACTCTGGCCTGTGAGGTGTTTCCGCCTGTGTGCTCAGGATGAGCTTCTCGGCTGGTCCCATGTCCGACTGAGAAGCCACACCAGTAAGCCCAGCCCAACGAGTCAGCGCGAAGCATCGCAACGCTCTGACCCAATCAGAGCCACCACTGGGCTCGACAGGCGAGGGGGTCCCGTTTAGGACAGAAGATGAATACAATCATACTTACGAGAGATGCATGTATGCAGAAACCATGTGAGTTGCGAAAATTGCAAACAATATAAAATCTATTCTAGTAGACCTCAACAATGGAATTTAATGATCAGTAGAAAATGGCCATGACGCTGCGGAACCCTTATTTTAAGTTACGCAGGTTCCAAAAGTTACCAGACCGTAACAAAAAGGCGTACCTTTTCTGATAATCACAGCTATTGATACAGACACAGACTACAGAAAAAAGGTGCTTTTTGCTTTGTTGCACAGGCGTTAATTGGCCACAACGGGTACCAATAAAAGACAAATTGTAACGAAGAAAAAAAAGAGCCTCGCTATTGGCCTCCCCAGGAGAGACTCGGCTCCTCATTATTGCATATTAATATATTTAGTTATTACCCAATTTGAAAAAATGCAGTAGTCTCTGGTTTTCTCTCCTTGGAGATCTCTTTCTGCAACAAAGCCAGTATAGGCTAGCGGTAGGAGCAGTCCCTAAACCAAAAATCATTTCTGAACATGCTTCGCCATATTTAGTTTGCAAAAGAAACAAGCTTTTAGGATTACAATCACCATCATCGTCTCAAATGAATGACCTTTAATATGGATACCTGGGTAGTTCCTGCGTAGCTTGTCTGGTTGTAAGAGGCCTGAGGACAGATAGCGGGAAGAGAGGAGAGATGCTTACGAAACATGGCTGTGTCATCTATAGTTATAAGTGTATACGTAGAATAAACACGAGAACAAAGGGCGATGAAAGAAATAGACAAGACTGCGCAAATCATACAAGTGTCAGTAGAGCAAAATGGGTGTAACATTCAATTCACTTAGCAAAGTGAAAATGTGAGCAAATTTCAACATGCGGTGAGTACTCCTTTTATCCAACATCGCTGGCTATCACTTTGCCAGTGCACGGAAAGAGCCCAATAGGAACTCAGANCGTGGAGGAGCCATCAGTGTATCCTCGGTTAGAGCTCCTCCAGAGAGCCTAGGAGCTCTAACCGAGGAGAGAGGAGAGAGGAGAGAGGAGAGGAGAAAGGAGGCTCTCTGGAGGAGCTCTAACCGAGGATACACTGATGGCTCCTCCACGGCTCCTTCATGGATGCATTTCCGGGAACAGAGATGTCTCAAAGAGTCGTGACGCACGGCCGGACTTATCTCAGCCAATGACAGCTCTGCATGCATCCCCTGGATATTATTTTCTGAACTGCTCTCATCGCAACGCAATGTTTACAGAGAGATCAACTGTGAGGTCCGTGCAGAAAGCAGAGCAGGGTGTAAAATATATATCACTCAGTATAACAGGCGTACTCTCTGTATTTGCTTTAGTTTAGTAGATATCTACAAACAAAGAGTCGATATTTTTCTAAAACCATTTAGTGCTTCACATAATAAAATACACAACGGCTGTAGCCTGATTATGCTTTAGGAGCTGTAGGTGCGTGTGTGTGGTATGTGTGTCCACATATGTAGCCTGTTATTGTCTCATTATGCCGCACTGTGAATGAATCAAAGTAAATATATAAGTCGTCGTGAACACATCTGTCCATCAGACAGAGGGCTGCTGTGCCGCCTCCTGTCATCATTAATGGACGTCTCTTTAAAATGACTGCTCAGAGGAGAGGAGTTCTCATTTCTCTAACCGCCTGCTGCTTCCCCTCCTCTCTCCTCGGGTCCCCTCCTCGGCTCCTCCGCTCTCCTGTGGGCGGGACTAAGTCTCGAGGATAGGAGTCGAGGAGGGGAGTTGAGGAGGGGAGTCGAGGAGGGGAGTTAGAGAAATGAGAACAGGCCCTTGTTAATCCTGACCTGTTTCTGGTGTCGTGCATTTGGGTCCTGAGCCTTGTGACATTCTTAACACTAGTGGCTGAGAAATAATCATATATCAAAAGACAGCAGCATCATAAGAGGCCAACCAGAGCGACAGAGTGTGTCACTTAGCCGAAGGATAGTTGTGACCAGCTATCCAGGCCAGACTCTAAAGACTAGAGTACTGACTGGAAGTATTGCTGATATCATGTCTACCATATCCTCTTAAAATACTCTGTCCAGCAATATCAGTCTCAGGAAGAAATGTGTTTTAACGCTTATTCAAAATAGCAAAGAAACATGCATTCTTGTACTCAAGAGAAGACATTGACAGAGGATTACTTTACTCAAAAAGTACACATTAAAGGTACTTGTGGGAGTTGTTTCACTAGTACTGAGTCCAACAGTGTCAATCAAGGAAGAAATGTTTTGTAATGCTTATTAAAAGAAAAACATGCATTCTTGTTCTCAGGAGGGGACATTGACAGAGGATTACTGGAAAAGTAAACAGTAAGTACTTCATAGTACTTGTGGGGGTATAGTTTCACTGAGTCCAACAGGATCAATCTCAAGAAGAACTAATGGCAACAAATAATTGTTAGTAGTAGGCTAACTAATACAAAGTCAAACAGTATCAATTTCATTAAGAACTAATGGTAAAATTATATATGTATCACTCATCAAAGATAGCAGACAAACATGCATTATGTACTATGGAGGGAACTCTGACAGAGGATTACTCACAAAGTACACAGTAAAAGGACTTCATTTAATTTCTGGTAGAGGTCAAACTAGTACCGAGTCCAAGAGTGTCAGTTTTATTAAGAACTTATGGTAAAGAATATTTGTATCACTCATTGAATATAGCAGGACAAAAAATTAAGAGCTGCTGATTTGAAAAAACAAACTCGAGAGACGGCTGAGTTGACCGCAGTGCAGAGTCGCAGCATAGTTTAAATCTCCTTACAATGTTGTCCATTTTAAATATAGGCTTATTATATTTACATCCCGTAATAACATTAGTTTTCTGGGCTCAAAATGTGTCTTGGCTGTTTTCGTTGTGATTGCTAAATTCACCTTGTTTATAATATTATCACAGTTCCAAGAACACAAGTGCTTTTGTTTTGAAACAACACTTATTACCCCTCTTCCACCTCCTACTTTTTCTGATAACAAAAGCAGGTTCTAGTTGAACGGAAGCTAATCATGTTTCCAAAACCATTGAGTATAGTAAAGCACTATGGTGAAGTCAAATAAATCTGTGAAGCATGGTACTCGTAATTAGCAGTGGTGTTTTATAACTTCTGGAAACTAATTACTGCACACACATGAACAATATGAACAAAGTTACATAAAAGAGCAGGTGCTGGTTAATCCATTGAGGTAAACATTTGTATTCATCGCAAGTGGATGTGTGTGTCTCCGCGCCAAACACTCACCCTGACTTCATTGGGGTCCTCTGAATAGTCCACCCGTTGACAAATGTAACTGTAGCTCGCTGACCGCGCTGCCATAAAAAGCTAGAAACAAATAGGGAATATCACCACTTTAGCCTCGTGGAGAAGACATACATGTTAAACAGAAGGTAGAATGTAGGTGATAGCAACCTACCTCTTTGAAGATGAAGAAATTGAGAAACACCATGCTGAAATTGTAGACAATGAGTGTTTTGCGGAGCTGGAAAGGCTCTCTGTTCTTCATGTATTTGGGCCCCAGCCAGAGGAATAGCAGGTAGGAGGTGCTGATGGCCAGCGTGGGCAGGGGGTTGTCCATCAGAGGCCATTTCGCCACTCGCTTGTCTGCGGGAAAGATGTTCTCATAGCATTACATAACTTTTCTTATTGTTCACATTACACTGACAAAGCGTGGGTCCAGTATCAGTTTATTTTAAGAGTGCACGTCCCACACAACAGGAGCACAGAGGCCAGATTAAGTCCAGAGGTCGCCTGTCTGGAGGTCGGTTGGATGCAGACACACTATTTGCATGTGCTACTTCTAAATTAGTATATAAGTGTGAAGGTGAAAGAAACTTTGTCTTTACATGATCTATTCCAGTTCAATTATAAACAGGAGGAACAAATGAAGGAGCAAAAGAGAATATGGCTCATTAAGAATCAACGTATGTTGTGTGTCAATTTATCAACAAGTTCTCCAAATCATACGTCCAAATAGGTAGATTGTTCAAGCCCTTATTACGACCAAATAGCTCGATTGTTCAAGCGCTTATTACAACTTATAAAACGGACAAGTCAAATCAAGGAATCTGATTGGTTCTTAGCCGTGATATACTGAGCGTATACCACGGGTAGAATTGTAAATTACTTTTCACAACAAGTAAGTATCCCTCCGCGCCTGAGAAAAACAGTATACAGTTGGGCTGAAAAGCAAACTACACGCCCCTTAGCTGTGATATAATGAGCATATACCACGGCCTGTCGTGAGCTAT